AATTATTAGCAAAATGGTATTAACTTGTGAGAATCGTTACAAGCTTGTTGCATGCAAATTATAAAGAAAATCTAATGACTAGATTTTCTACAAATAAACAAAACCGATTTTAAAGGCTTGTGTATATTTACTCATGTTGCCATGGAATCGGCACATACGTCAGCTTAACCATCAAAAAACCAAAGTTTGCTGCCATTTTTGGCGACCGAGGGATCAAGGGTTTGAGAGAAAAAGGTAAATGAAACACAGGTATCAAAAACTGTGTTCAGCCACCTTAACCACATTCGATTTGTTAAATACACCGACGTTGGGTGGATTTGTTTTATACTCGCACCAGTCCTTTACTCAGCGAGTACAAATAAGAGCGATGCATCTCAATTCAGCCCAGTTCGTGGAAAAATCCTTCGCTTCGTAAACTCACGTTCGGATGATCAAGTTCTCGTCCATGCTGCTTCTGACTCCTTCAACTGAACTTACTGCGTGCAACAGGTCCAGTTTATGGAGACCAAAACCGACACCATTACTGGTACAACTAACTTTTTCTTGCTGTTTGTTGCTTTTAGTCGTTTACGAACTTGTCTTTGCGCACGTTTAATCTTTTATTTCGTTGCTTGGTTGTTATTTTTTATTTGCAGGCTATTACTGTGAAGTTGCAGAACTGTTTATCATTTTATGCGTGCTTTGCCTCACAACCGCCAGGTTTGTGTCGTAATTTTTTTCCCCGCCTCGCTTGTGTTCTTGGTCTGTTCTATTGTGTGAGTGCAATGCTTTGCAAACATCGGGCTTGTGCAGTGCCTTGCCCTCGGCTCCCTTTAGTTTGCACGCTGGTTCTTGTTTGTAACATTCAGCAATGTTTTGTTATGCGTGCATTGCCTCGCAGGCATCGTGTTCGTGCAGTGCTATTATTCCCTTGGCTCCCTTCAATTGGCACGCTTATGTTCTTGGCCGTGTAATATTCAGTAAGATTCTTATTTATTTGCGCATTAATTGCCTCACAAACATCGGTTTTGTGGAGTGTGCCATTCCCTCGGCTCCCTTTAGTTTGCACGCGCTTATTCTTGGTTTTGTAATATTCAGTATGCTTTTGGTATCCGTGCTTTGCCTCACAAGCACGCTTTATTTTACTTTGTGTTATTCAGTGATGTTTTTGTTGAGTGCTACGGGGTTTGTGCAGTACTATTCCCTTTGGCTCCTGTAAGTTTTGCTCGCTATTTTTTCTTGATTTGTACTATTCAGTAATATGTTCCCCTTGTTTTGCCTTTAGTTCGCACACGTTCTTGTAACTGGGAGTAATGTTATTATGCACGTGCTGTTGCATTGCTTCCCTTCTTCCCATGCATGGTAGCCTGAAAGCCTGTGTAATCCCTTAGTCGGATTACTGACGCTTAAGCTGCCATCCTTTGGGTGCGTTTTCTCGCGTATCTTGTGCGCATTTTTGTTTCTTCTTTAGCGTGTGCCTTTGTCCCCGGTATATTTTATTCTGTTTTACCACTCAAGTGTGGGCAGCATTTGGACATTTTGTTCACGACATCCTCTCTGTCAATTGCGTAGCCCTTCGTCTTTTTGCTTATGAGTATTGGCAATTGTTTCGGGTATTTAGCCCATACCTTAAATGTTCAACTCCTGGGCGCGGAGCAGTTTTGCATCTCTTACTCAGCGAGCGTGAAAAAGACTGTCGCGAATAGTATGCTAAGCAAAGACAACATCCAAAATAAAGTCTACAACCAAAACTAAATAGGTTTGGTCCGAAACCAAACGAAACTGGCCCCTGGCTCATAGATACATATAATATCTCTTCCTAAAGGTCATAAATATGTTACTTGTTATGAACGTTTTTATCTTTGCACCCTTCATTTTTCTCCCTGGTTCTATTAAGGTTTGATAGGCTCTAAATCAGATACATCAGCTCCATTTTCTAGTGTCATCTGTAGTGTCAGCAAGCAGCACCAAGTACATTCATGTAAAAGTAAAAAAGGTTAAGTGTGAATACGAGCCAAGTGGTCCATGAGGCCGGAGCTCATCCCGGTTTCTGTAGTATGAAGCGACTAGGAGTAATTGTACTCCTCCCTGGACGGGATGCTTAGTCCATGGCAGGGTTGCCCCCTGCATTAAATTCGCCGGTACCCATTTATCCACGTGGTTGGAGAGAGGCACTGTGAGAGTGTCTTGTCCAAGAACACAACACAATGTTCCCGACCAGGGCTCGAACCCGGACAGGTCGATCCGAAGGCGGGCGCACTAACAATGAGGCCACCGCGCCTCCCTTGTACATTCATGTACGAGATCTTATTTTATTTTAATTTTTAAATTTACTTCAAGCAAAAGTCCAGTTTCCAGGAGCAATAAGTTACGGCTGAAAGGAGCCTCCTATGACATCAAAAGATTGATAGAGAAGCATCATATGGTTCTGAATCGCCCACCTTTATTGAAACTTGATACAGGCTTTTCATGATCAACAGCCATACAGAAGCTTAAAATGTCGCCTATCGTTAGGAGTAAATCTTTGTATCCAAACGCATTCGATATTTGCAAAACAAGTCATTGTACGCCACGTAAAACAAGGTTGTCCACTGCCTAGAGCATATTATTGCCCGTTCCTGGTAATTCAATAACTGTATATCAAAACCACAACTTGCATTTCATTATTGTAAACTAAAATAGATTGACAAGCTTGAAAATATAAAATACATGAAATAAATGGTGTAAAACTATAGCGTTCTATACACAGCACCATGAAACACATCTCATAGATAAACGCTCTTTACCTCAACAGCAGAACGAAAAGTTATTACTACAATGTTTTGCATATAGATAGTAGTAAAATAACTAATATCTTGTTTACACGGTTGCAAGGCCAAGAAGTGTTCCTTGCAAATCGCTTACTGGCATTTTACGAGCACTCTGGAACACTAGCCAGAGAGGGTTCAGTTATCTCAAACACAAAATTTACATTGCGCAATTCTACGCTAAAGTGGACTGTCAAGTTTCAAAACACAAAAATATCCAATTAAATGGTATTAAGCTATAAAAACTTATAAACAACTATACTATAAAAATATTTGATTGATACACCTTCTACATGTCAACAACAGAAGCAAACGGTTATACTAATAGTTCCTCCGCATAAAATTAATCGTAAAATAGGTTATATCTTTATGTCTTGTTACCACAGACATAAGGCCAATTAGAGGCCATTGCAAGCGGGTTATTTTAGGTAAACATGAGAAAAATAGGTGTTTCATAAAACTGTATTTCATAATTCTAAACAAGCCGCGATTTACTAATAAACTATCTACCTTGACTGGTGACAAATTGCAAAGCCCTAAAAACACCGTTACTTTACAATACAAAATATGTCATTGATACACGTTTTTTGTCTTAATCGACCGACAAAAAAAAAAATGGATAGCAGTTCCTGAAGAAAACAACTTCATCTATTTGAGGCTATAATTTCTTGATCGTGTTGTTTTTACAGCAAATCAGCCATTACAGGGAGATCGCATTCTACCAATGCATCGTAGACATCTCCGACACATCTTATGTAACCTTGGTTTCGACTATGAGCCAGAGCGGCGTCACATGGGTTCAAGACTCGCTTGTCAAGATAGAGGATTTCTGCCGGATTTAAGCCCAGTCTCTCTGCAAAGAGTTTCCATTCATCTCGACCTAAAACGCAAATAATATATATTTAAATATTAGATTATGAGCTCGAGATTTCTATGAGGTGATAGTTGATGAGGCCGAAGGCCGAATCACCTATCACCTCAGAAATCGAGAGCGAATAATCTAATTGTTTTAGTAGAATTCTTACTAAAATTTACTTCAAATAACGGTTTCCAATTATTTCTTGACGTATTATTAAACTTGAAAAAGATCGCTCGGATTGACTTGTCATTTAAAATTGAAGTTGTGTGCGCGTGCGCATCAGTTTTTTCAATAATTGCAACTTTTTTTAAAAGTCAAGAAACCGAAAATGTCCTTCGTTTAGGCTTCTCGGGAATTTAATCATCCATTTGCATAAAAATTTTCCTCCAAAACTTCGGAAAAACGAACAAAGCGTCGTCATTTCCTAGACGACCTCCACTCACTGCACACTAATGGCTGATAGTGTTCAATGGCTCAGCCAATCAGATTACAGCAATTGTATTAGTATACTAGTAGAATTCTACTAAATATATTTAGTATCACCCAACTAGTGGACTAATGCAAATCCTGCATTTTACGAGGCCCTGCGCCTAAGAAACGACCGATGATTTCCGGCTAAAAAATAAAATCGG